CGTGTCGGATAAGCAATCTTAAGCTCTAGATCCAGACATGAAAAATTAACAATCGGCTCACGTGACCCTGTCTTACACATAGCTCCTTATTATAAGTGTTGATGGAGATTTTAAAACAGCGAGGGAGTAACGGGATAGAAAATAGTTTATCAGAAACTTTATTAATTGATTTTTTTTTCTTTGGTGCGAATTTTTTTTATTTCAAGTGCTTTGTATAAGATACCTTCTTGAAGATATATGTACTTTATGGATAATACAATGATTGTTTCGAATGATAAATATGCTGCAATATTTTATCTAGATAATTTGAAGAAAACAAGGTGGGTATGATGCAAAAAACGGTTACAAATAGACATCTGTTATGAAATATGAAAAGAAAGACAACAATGAAATATCTGTCAATTACTTTTTTAAATTCTTTATAATTTTCAAAAGCGTCGATTCATAAAAAACAATATTTTATTTCAATCTTTTTTACTTTTCTTCTTTTCAAGTTTCTATTAGATCATTATAATAAAACAAGCAAGCACACAAATCGGCAATGTTTCTTAACTTGACAAAGTAAATTCTTATTAGGTTGATTTAAAATTGAGCTAAATCTGATTATTTAAAATTCACTTTAAATCTAATTTAAAAATAAAGTTTATTTCAAATATCAATTGTAACTTCTCTATTACAGTTTTTCAAGAATCTGTCATTTATTATCGATTTTCGACTGAGTTCATTAAAGGGGCTGGGTTTATGGCCATTTTCAGACTATTTTGTCCTCCTTGAGAAGAAGAGCTATAAAGACAAAATGATCAAATTTTAAAATTAAATTGTATGAAAATTCTCTTTGCCAAATGATAGTTGACAGCTTAAGATACCATATATAAAAAAATTAAGTTAAATCTGGTGGTTAATTTGTTATCCCCCCTGCCTCCTTAAGAAATGATTCTGGTAACAGATATACAACAACGTTTTAAATAATTTAGCGTAAATCATTAATACATTTTATTCGCGTTACCTTAAGGTCAAGATCTAGTAAATAACTTTAGACTAATTTTTTGGTGCTAGATCCATTATGACGTCATAATCAATTTCAACTTTCTTTTTCCCGTACTTTACAGCTTTAGCAGAATTATGTAGAAAATAGGATATGTTCATGACATTCAATTTGAAATCATATGAAAAGTAAACCGGATACCTATATTAAATTTGATATTGATTTAAAGAAGAGGCCATGAACATACACATTACCGTTTTCTGAGAGACTGTAGGCAATCTGGATACATTTCCTTTGTCGAATATGAAAAAAACTCCCATATTCATGAATGGTTTTCTTACTTTTTCATTGAAAATGACAGTTTAAAATACAGTTTTTCATCTTGTTTACCTACAAATTATGCCCCGAAACACCTTATTTGGCCTAGCTAAAGTTGTAAAGCATCAATAAAGGAATTTATTTCTCAAATTTGATAAATCTGTAGGCACCCTTCGTTTACTAGATCTTGACCTTAATTTGACAAGCTAAAAACTTTTTGATATTAATAAGCAAGACTAAATTCTACGAATTCGGGCGTTGCTCTATTTTTATCTTTAGCTGTTTAATAATACAAATATACTGGAGAATAAAATTTTGGGAAGCAAATTAAACTGATAATAACACAAAATTAAACTTCTTGCGCATACAATGTGTTTGCAGTTATACTAAATAAAGTATAGCTACCCATTTGAGATCGGTTCTAGTATTCTCAGTTATTTAATTGGCAAATCAGACTGATATATCATACTTTTAAAAAAAATTAAAAAAGACATTTTATTTTGAAAATATACAAAACAAGATAGTACATTTATTGCATCGAGATTTTATTGAACTATGTTTGGTTAATTACAAATTACAAGTGTCAGATAAAACATAAGCACTTTAAAAAAAAATTCTTTGAACAAAGTCAAATTAAGATTTAACAAGTATCTATTACAATTAATAAAGTTGCAATTCAAACTCAAATATAATTGGCGAGGCAAAAAAGATCGATAAGTTTTTACTTAATTAGAGTTTTAATTATCTCAAATCAAAGATAAAAACAATAAAATTTAGAAGCATAGGATAGACGATACAGACGAAAGAATAGATGCCTGGATTGGTATATATTTTTTGGACTTATTTCATTGAAAATTATGCAAATAATAAATTTCTAGAATATAACGAAATAGTAAACCTTCCATGGTGAGAAAAATTCTGCCTCTCTGAAACCATCGTTGTTTATCTTTACAAATATTTTTTCACTTCAAATCCCATTTTAGTTAAAATTCAAATTAAAAACAAGTGGTGAAACCTATTCATTTTACTCAATAAAACATAACTCAAGTTGTTGTCTTCATTTTTTTCCTCACAAAGGTTTGTTTGTATCATCTGTCCTTAACAAAATGTTGAAACTATTTTACTTGAATCATCAACCCTGCTTTGTTCATCAATTTATACAAATACATGATTTAAATGGTATTTTTCTGTATTACTTTGAGGTAGTAGTATTCTAGAATTCTAAAGAATTTTTTCCTTGCCTAAAAAAAAGTATTGTTCATTTTGCAAATGGCTAAGTTCTAACTGTGAGAGAATGAGTAGAAAAAGTAATCATTATTTCGGGTTCATTATTGGCCCGATTTCCCGCAAGACTTGTACAGGTCTTAATGAATCCAAAAACAATAACGAGTCGGTAACCTGTATATGACACGAAGCAGTCCGTCTCCTTTAAAGGACATCATTTCCCAAATGATTCTGAAAACTCAAAATGATCGGGATATACTATCCTTTTCCTCAGACAACAAGCATCTTAGGAGAGCTTAAGGCTATTCCCCAACCCGAGTTTACTAATAACACTCTCTTTAATTGCTCGTTCAATGTCTTTTTATAAAGCTTCCGTCAAGCTTTGGGACTAAAACCAAGTCCAACAACTATCTAAATTGGAACCTACGTGACAAAAACATAATCCTGCAGAAAACGAGTTTGCCAAATTTAATGCATAAAATCTGAATGTCCAAACCTCGGCCAGAAATTAAACTATAAAAACTACACGCAAGTTATTTACTGCTTTAGCTTCAAAAGGCAATCAAAGGCCTGATCGCGATCACTAGCAATATGATTTGCGGCATAAAGTCATTGCGTTTCTAGGAGTTAACATCAACAACAAAAAATAACTCATGATATGTATTTATTTCATGAAAGAAAAATTATCCTTCTTAATTAACGAAAAAAAAAATGTAAGTATATTTATTAACAATTGAAAAACATTCATTTTGTTCTCAATTTGACACATTTGCTTGTAAACTGTGTTGGTCTAAAGTGAAACAAGTCATACTGTAGTAAGAAAGAGCAGTTAAGCCAAGAAGTCCGTTTAAACAGTACAAATCAGGAGCCAGGCAAACACGAACCTCTTAAAATATCAGAGGTAGGATCAGGTGCAATGGAGGAGTAAATATTATACATATATTACATGGCTTCGAGGGCAGCATACCAGAATATTTGCCCCAAGGTGACAGGAAAGCCCTGGAGTGTTATGTCGCCCGATGCCGCAGGCAGAGGGTGACATAACACTCCAGGGCTTTCCTGTCACCGAGGGGCAAATATTCTGGTATTGCTGCCCGAGAATTAAGCCATGTAATATATGGTATATAACATTTTTAAGCATTGAACCCAAATCGATCATCGAACATATTTATTGAACACTATGATACACATATGTACGTTGAGTATAATTCCGAAATATCCCGTACTGTTTCATGGCAGAATGTTTTAAGTATGCTGACACTTGTGTTGATAACCTTTGTTGCATTTAAAGAATTTTTCTCCTCAATTAAATTATCTAATTCCTCTGAATTCAAATAAACAAATCGCAGACGTTGTCTCGACTTTTTAACGTTCGCGGAACTGTTTACGTTCTCTTAGCAACTGCCTCTGTGAATTTCGAACCCGACGTAATTAATATGCAGAATGATTGCACGCGAGGGAACATAACTGTGTTCGGGAGGGCAACATAACTGTTTCCGGTGGAACATAACTGTTTCCGGCGTGATTCGGCAGTTTTTCAGGGCATATAAATAAAAATATTATATTTGTGATATAATGGGAAAACTTCTTCAAAAAATGTTATATCAAAAGTTGGTTGATTGTACACAACCGTGATATGCTCCTTGTCATGATCGCGCGATAGGAACAAAGAGAATTCACTGTGTAAATATGGCTTAAACGGTGTATTAAAAACGTTAGTCTGCATTTGTCATAATGATGCACTGTATAAAATGTGGAGATACTGTAAATGTACATTAAACAATACAAAAATGGAGCATAGCAATCAATGACCTCAAAAAATATTAGTGGTTGGATCAGATGCCATTGAGGAACGAAATCCCCTAATTAGATGAAAATGTATTATTTTCCGAATATGACAAGGAGCACACGGTGGGTGTGACCGGTCGGCAGGGGATGCTCACTCCTCCATGGCACCTGATCCCACCTCTGATGTTTCGGAGGTCCATTTTTGCTCTGCTCCTATTTTGTATTGTTTTATGGACCTTGATCTTGAATACTGATCGTTATTTCCATATGTTTCATTGACAACTAAACAAAAAAAACTTTATAAGAGATTTGTTGATATTTCTGTTTAATTAACTTGTTTCAGTAGCACAGAGAGGATACTTTTGCGTATTGGAGTTTAGAGAGATAAAGTATTCCATATGCATGTAATGAGGATATTTTACTATATAAGTAAGGGAAGTTAATAATAAAAAAAAGTTAAACTCCTCATGTTTATCATAAAGTTTTACTGTATTGTTATCAAAGACTTTTAACTATCCAAATATGAAAAAGATTCGTCAGATTCTGTCGTATCTTTTACTTTAAACAAACGGACATTCAAACACCCACCCAACATAAAACATGAATCGAGGAATTGTTGATTCTTGATGAGCAACTCTCTCTGCCCAAAGACATATATTAATATATTTTTTTCTGTAAATTTCAGGAAACCAAGGCACCTTGCTCTTTAGTGAATGTTTCGTATAACAACTGCAGGCCCGTTGTGGAACAAACTCACTCCCCGACAGTTGGCGAGGAAATATTTACATACATGACGCCATTCATATTTGTCATCGGGATCTTCGGAAACCTCCTATCCCTCAGAGTCTTCATGACAAAAAATATGCGGAAACTCTCGGCAAGTTTATACCTTGCTGCTCTATCTACTGCAGATCTAATGTCGCTTATATTTTACGTCTTAATTGAGTGGGTGAAGCGAGCCATTTCCTACACCCCTGGAGCTCCCACCGCGCCATTCCTTGAACAGAACGGCATATGTCAAATTTTGATTTACCTCCAATATATATCCCGATTTCTGTCGTCCTGGATCATCGTATGTTTTACGTTTGAACGGTACATCGGAGTATGTCATACTCTGAAAAGGAAAACATTTTGTGACATGCACTCAACAAGAAAAATCGTATCGTCTGTCATCACCCTCGCTTTGGTGCTCTGTCTCTACAAACCATGCCTTACCGCCTCCATTGAGGTGGGCCCTAACAAGGTCAAAGTCTGCACGGCCGAGCCAACTTACAAAGACATTAGTTTTATTCTAGATTGCATCTTTGTAATGAGCATTATATTTCTTCCTTTCGTAATTATAACGGTCTTGAATACCATGATAATTCGTACACTATATATTCGGAATAAACATCACAGAGAGTTCAAGGTAATCACTGAGGAGAGCATCATACGACTAGAGTTCACCATCATCCTGATAGCAATTTCTATCTGTTTCATTGCTTTTAATACCCCGTACACCGCCATCTGGAGTAAACAACACTTGCTGACCAAACTTCTTAAGACTACAAACACGGACGACTTACTTAGATATAATCACGATGGATCAGATCTGACCTGGAACATTAATGTCATGTTCATTACCAGGACAATTTTCTACATGAACTACTGTGTAAACTTTTTTCTTTATTGTCTCACAGGAGCTTACTTCAGAAAAGAGCTGAGGATGTTGTTCATGTACAAAAGCAAGAGCTACCAGAATCAATATCACCGATGTTCCGTACAAAACACGTCTTCTAGTCCTACCCCTCAGACATGTCTCTGAAGGAAAAGAGAAAGGTATTCCAAATCTACACAGAGAGAGAAAGCCATCCCCACCAACCCACTTTAAGAGCAAGTCCGTATCCCTCATTCACACTGGAGCAAAAAGTCTTCATCTCAAACATTGAAAGAGATTGTACTCATGCACCATCAAAGACGAAAGATCGGAAGATAAGAATACCGATATTTCTAAAATTAAAATGATGCATAATGTCCACAACGATGATCAAGAAGATACCGAACCCCCACAACACTGAAACATATGGTTAAAAAAAAACTAGGAATTCTAATGTAAAAAGTGAGAAAACCACATTTACTACTGATATAGGGGTCAATATGCTCTACATACACAGATACAAAGGGAAAAATCCTTCCACCTACACTATTGCGGAGTATCAAATACCCTCATCAACACTGATACAAAGAGTAAACACTGACACAGAACACTAATAAAGAGATCGACTCATTTCCTACACTGGGATAAATTTTCATATCCGTAAACTCCAACACAAAAGGTCGATATGCGCCACCATCACAGAGAGGGAGGATCATGCGGTGGAAAAAACATCTCTCTTGTTTTAAAGCTACCAGTATTGTATTCCAAACTTTCTTTAGCTATGCTTTGTATCAACTCCTGTCCCTGCCTTGATGGGATCATTAGGACGTCATCTTTCACACGTTATTGCATCACGAGGATACACAATTCATACTACATACTCCCTGCAATCGAAATTGGATCTCAAATAAATTATATTTTGTAGTCTTGAAAAGGTGTATGGAAAAGATCATGGAAATATAATTATCTTAAATATATGTAAAAAGGGTGTATGAAAAACAAACGAATAACTATTTACCTAATCGTTGCTGTTTATGTCGTTACCCGAAATCTTCACATTTTATTTTCTGAATGGTACAAATTGTTGTTTTTAATATTGCTTTAATTGAAATATATTGCATTTTGAGCGGTCTGTAAATGTTTGTTTTTAGCCTGCTTTTATATCTTTTAATTAGGGAAAACGAAATTTGTTAAAATAATAAAGAAATGATAACAATTGCATTTGGGTTTTTATCAGCAAATAAAATTTCCATAACATCATTTGTCAAAAGCGGGTGTGACCGGTCGGCAGAGGATGCTCACTCCTCCTTGGAACCTGATCCACCTCTGATTTTGTGGAGGATCATGCAATATATTCTTAGTATGTATAGTTTCATGAACTTTTGAGCCTAATTTTTTTTTATCTTCATATATTTTATTGAAATGCTCACACCTCCATGGCACATGATCACACCTCTGATGTTTTAGAGGTCCTTCTTTGTTCTGCTCCAGATTAGTGTTGTAACTTGAATTCCGTTCGTTATCTCCATTTATTTCACCAAAAATGTTATTATAGCTATATGACTATTTCTAATATTTTTAAAATTATAGACTAAAAATAGAGATAAAAACAGTTTGAGTCACTTTGATAAGCATAATATAGGAAATGTCATTCTCTGATTCCTTCCACAAACCCTCACGTTAAAGGTGCCTCAATCGTGTTAAAGTATACATTCCTTTGTAACAAATAATAAGTGGAGATAACGAACAGTATTCGAACTCAAACGTCCATTAAACATAACAAAATAGGAGCAGAGCAAACATGGACCTCCAAAACATCAGAGGGGGGATCACTGGTGCCATGGAGGTAAAATATATATACTATTGAGGAGTTCTTTCGATTGACCTTAACAAAAAGGAATATCTAACGGTCTGTATGCGCAGATTATTCAAACTTCGTGAAAAATCTACAGACAATTTTCCGTTTCTAATGTGTATGCAAGAAATACATTAATGTTTGTCTTTTCATCTAATGAAGCACTATTCATGTTGTTTATAAACTGATATGTGCGTTAAATATATACAGGAAATTGGGCTGAATATTATTTCCTCACATTTTCAGTCTTAAATAGTTCTCTTCCCGAGTACCTTAGGGCTAATATCTGAAACATTTTCAGAACAATTGCAGTAATTTTTTTATATATTTGTTTTATTTTCTAGAGACGCATTTGTCATACTAGATTATATTGATTAATATGTTACAGGACAAATGACGGCGGAAAGCTGAGGAAAAATAAAACCAAAATATGCTTTTCGCTATATCAGCTTCTTTACAGCCAGTATATTAATTACGTATAATCCAATACGTTAATTTACAAAAACTTGGCATCTTCAACAAAGAGTGAGCTCAAAATGTTTTCACAGAGCCAGATTTTTTCTGTGTAGGGAAACAATCCAAAGCTTCACCAAAAGATCTGCAACAGATCTGCTTCCTATTAGATAGAACCCCCGGGCATCGAGTGATGTCAGTACAATTGTTCTTCTCGCGACCTTCCAAATCTACGAAAATATGAAAAACGCTGCCAAAACAGTAAAGGGCAGAGATACAAACGATAACCATCGACGAAAGACTCAATTAAATCAACGATGATTGCGTGTATCCCATTCATTTAGAGTATTACATTTGTTCCATTGAACAAATAAAAAACATTTGTATTGTGACAATCTCTCTGCATTCCATCACCGTAAAACCGACAAAACACACAATCCCTGAATCTGCCCCCTAATCAGGGACGCCGCTGCTGAGTTTGTATAATGAAATTACTCCGAAATTATTGGAATAACTAGGTTCTTGAAGTTTGCACTCTGGCGCGATCTTATTGTGGATCTGGGTAATTAGGGACCCAGCATCCCCGAGCGAAACAGATCGTCAGTACGCTACAGGAGTGTGTGTAGAGATTTAGAAAGAGAGAGGGTAAAGAAGCGGGGAAGCAAACCTTCCAAAGGGGGATAACCACTACTACTAGAACTTATGTAGACGTACTGAAAGGAACTGTCTCTGACACGTGCAACTAACGTGCTTTTGAATTTACACCCAAAAGACACACAAGTATTAGCTTACCTAAAAAGCTTGTCTGACGTGGTTTGCTTTAATTCATAAAGCGGAAAGAAATAATATATATATGTTATGTAATTTCTTTCGTTCGATAATATACTTTAATAATCTTTCATAGACCATGCGTAAACAATATTGTATACAAATTTAGAACATTAAATTTAAGTTCCTGGCCCCAGGATCATGAAACTAACTAAGACTTAAGTCAATTTTTAATCGCCGATAAAATATTTATTAATTATGGAATTTATTTCTTGATTTGCACACAACAACACCTCTGCGAAACAATATTAAAAATATCTTAATTTTGGTCTGCTTGACAACATTTTATTATAGAATAAAGATTTTTGTCTTAAGCTTAAGATGTTTCTAGATCTCGGGGCCAGCATTTTACAGGTAATGTTTTACATGTTAAATTAATGACCTAACTGATTTTTTATTCAACAAACAGAGTAAAATGAAGGTTGTAAATAATATCAATGGGAAGATCTTTGTTTGGTCACTTAATGGGCGCGTATATGAAAGCAGGGATAACAATCTTGGAATAGCATTAAATACATGTTGACCATTCCCCTGCTGTTCTTGAGAGCTTTCATTGCTTCTCAAACCATCTGATGTACAATGATTCTCTACTGAACACCGTTACGTAATTGATTTATGAAAATCTGAACTGAAGTATCTAGGAAAAGGAACCAGAAGATGCAAACTAATTTACAATGTAATCGTCGAAAATATAATCGATAGGAGTATTAAAGTATAACACTTCAGCCAACATACAATTCTATTTTTCACAATAAAGAATTAAAAGCGAACTTGAATAAGACATTGTTTTCTATTTACACTGCATTTTTCTCAGGCACTGTATTTTCAGTTTTTTTCAAATAAGAGAAAATATTTGTGTGCCTTATGTTTAGGTCCTAGTAATTCAATGTCAAAGGTATAATTTTACAGAAAAAAGCAATCAAACAATTAACCATAACATGTAAATGTCTTAATCTTTGATACACAACACAAAAATAACAGTGAGATTTATATGATAGGGCATTTTTATTCTAGAGAACTAAAGCGGACATGTTCAATATGAAAGCACAGATTATATTAAAGACAAAATCATCCAGTAATGTAAATAAAAGCTCATTTCCACCTGGAACGAACTACATGCGTCTTTGGAGATTATACAGGTTTCGAAATTTCCACCATCGAACTATCTAAACAATTTCATGGAACGACTGCATAAATAAGCCCTGGTTAAATCTAGTACTGTCTGACGCCGTGACGTCAGAAATAAATCTTTGACAATGCAATCTTGGAGGGAGGATTTAGCTGGCAGTGTAGGCGGATCCATCTTTTCCTCTCATGAAAAATTCACACCATTGTGATATTCTTTAGACATTTAACAAAACTTTAAAATTTGGTTTTATATATTAAATATAAGCATTTATCAGTATACCATAGGGTGTAGAATTTATACTCTGTTGTGATATTTGTTTGATATTGGTAAATTAAGTAGGAATGTCCCCGTGCTATGTAAGCGAAATCCACAAAGTACAACGGTGACAAAATGGCTCTGAATGAGAAATATAAAAAAGTATTTAAAGGAATATTATTTTCAAGTGACGAGAATTAAATTAGTTAAATATTCTCTAGAGAAACATTATTTTCAGACAATAATAAAATAATTCAATTAAATCATACAAACAAAGGAAAGGACTGTCAAAATAAGTATTGATTTTCGGAAGTTAACAATATTAGCTTTCCGCCTTCATAAATAAGAAGAAGAATTGTATATAATATATATATATATATATATATATTTAAAAAAATACATGACTTACAATTTTACCTATTACATACTAGGTACAAATTTTCGCTTATATATCTATATATAGATAGATCTTGTTAAGTTCATCACAGGGAAGTCCTATATCAAATTGAATTAACTTCCGTTATTATATATTTCATTAAATCAAAATTGAATCAAAATAATCAAAAAACGTTTATAAATGAAGAACATCTCACTTATATCGATGTTTGAACCGGAACATTGTTCTGAGGGTTTACAATTCACAAGGTGTCATTATTTCACACATTTCTTCTCTAGCAGGAGAGTTCACATTGGAGTTATTGTATGGATATATCTAAACATGTTACAGTGTATACAGCCTTGGTGGGTGTTTTCTTGATTAACTTTCGAACTTCTTCAAAAACTATCGGAGTTTGTAAATCAAAGTAAGCTCTATATTAGCTTATTTATTTTAAATGTTAAAATATAGCCCATTGCAGAATTTCAATCAATATAATTATATATATACACTTAAAAGTAAATACATTATTTGTAATATCTATTGTTACATCATGTCTATAACTAAATCATGTCTATATTTCAACCATGTCTATATTTATATGGTTGTCTTTAAGTACAACAGAAAGAGAGTGCTGTTCTGATTATATACTGGTGGACGGCACGTGTAAACGTAAGTATTCATCTAACAGGGGAATGCACGTGTAAACGTAAGTATTCATCTAACAGCGGAAGGCACGCGTAAACGTTAGTATTCATCTGACAAGGGGAGGCACGTGTAGGAAGGCACGTGGAAACGTTAATATTCATCTGACAAGGGTACGGCGCGTGTAAACGTTAATACTCATCTGACAAGGGAAGGCACGTGTAAACGTATGTATTCATCTTCTCATCTAATAACGGAGCGCAATTGGTTCCCAGGGAATTCCAATAGATTGTTGGAAGACTTGGTCTCCAAAAACCACATCGATATTGTCAATCAGAAACTCAAGCATCTTCTTGATGTCAACTTCAGAGTACTTGTGTGTGCAATCAGAATCTGCTTTAACAAAATAATTTTGCAAATGACCAAAGACCAGGTGAGTAAATTTACGTATAAACGTTTATACAAGTATTTATCTGACAAAGCTAATGCAAATACTTTAAGACATGGCATTTTTACAAGGTATGTATAAAAATATTGGTATTGTACTTGTTATGCATCCTGGTACTGCTTCATGCATATAATGACGTACATACTCTAACAAGGAGCGTGCAGAATTTTAAAAGTATTTTTCAGCTATTTAGATTACAACAACTTCCTTTTTAAAACAGTTTTGCAAGACATGTTGAAAAGGGTTAATCAAGTTTTCAAGCATAATAGATTTCTTCCGCAATTATTTTAAATATGTTGACATTCGCATTTTATTTAATAAAATTGATGAACAGTTATATTCAAAGCATAATATTGCAAAGGTCAATACGTTTACTATATTTAAATTATTCTTCTCAACAACACGTTTTTTAACTTGTTTGATTCTATATTTTTAACTCAAATAATATGGTGAAATAAAGCTGTTTTATACTTCCTGGACATTGAGTAACTACCCAATATTTTTTTTTATTTCAAATAAAACAATGTTATAACGTTAGTAGTTTTATCTTTAAATTCTTTATTTTCTAGATGGAGATAACAAACAGTATTTAGTATCCAAGTCCATAAAACAATACAAAATAGGAGCAAAGGAAACACGGACCTCGGAAACATCAGAGGTGTGATCAGGTGCCATGGAGGAGTGAGCATCCCCTGCCGACCGGTCACACCCGCCCGTGTGCTCCTTGTCATGAGTCATTGGTAATAGCGAAAAACATCAGTCGTCAATTCAGTGTATAAATAATGGACTAACAATTAGTATGAAAAACGTCAGTCAGCATTTGACTCAATGATAAATTGTATTTGCTGGTCATTGTATCAACCATAGAACATACGAAATGATAACTTTAAACGAGACTGCTAATATTCTTGTTTCATAAACTTGCTTGTCAATAATTTGCCTCGATTTAGAAATTGTTCATACGTAGAGCATGCTCTTGCGTATCGAATCAACTGAGATATATACACTCCGTATGCAGGTGATGAAGATATATTGCTGCAAAAGTAAGGGAAGATGACGATTGAAAAGTTAAAGTCATCACCTTTTACATATAGCTTAGTTGTTAGATTACCATTAACGTCATATTTTAAGTAAAATATCCAAGTATGAAACATATGTGTCAGACTCTGTGGCATCTTTTTTCTCAAGCTCGCCAGGATATATCGTATCGACAATACGTCGCCGATATATCTAAATATCGAGATAAAGGCCACAGCAAGTGTTTTCTTCTTTTCACATGTAAGATTTTGCACGAGTTCTGCTTCATATGAATACAAAAATAAATCTGCTAATAACGGAGCGCAATTGGTACCCATGGGAATTCCAATAGATTGTCGGAATTGTTGAAATCAAACAATTTCTAATATTCAATATTTTAATTTCTCTGTATATGTTAAGGTAAATGACGAGCCTAGGTTTATACAGCTTTAGTGCACGATAAGGTTACATTTAATAAATTGACGTGTCTGCCGACTAACGTTTTTCGTACTTTTTAAACCATTATTTACAGGCATATATGGCGTATGTACAGTGAAAATTATTAGACTAAAATTATAAGAACTTATAATTTGTATCATTACTTTATATAAAGATAAAACTTTTCCGTAAATTACAAAATCTAAGTCAATTGCGTTATAAAGATATCACAATTTAATTTGGATTATCAGAATTTTCTCCGACTCGGAAGAAAATACAAAAAATTTAAATAACACATTACAGAGAAGATAAAATCGTATTATTAGATGAAACGAGGTGTTCTCCGCGTTTAGAATTGTATGATAAGCTTTAATTTATATGTATCAACTATATTTCTTTACTTAATTTTGTATTTTTCAAAAATATATTTTTTGATCAGTTACGCCATATATGGGTTTACATATAGTGTCTACAGCTTTTTCCGTTTTTCCACGATCATGAAAACGACCACATTGCGGGTGTGATCGATCGAAAGGGGATGTTAACTCTTCCGTGTCACCTGATCCCACCGCTGAAATTTAGGAGGCCCGTGTTTGGTCTGTTACTCATTTGTATCGTTTGAATAGACTTGTTAGCTTAAACATTGTCCGTTGTCACAATATTTTAATAACATGTAATTCTTTTACAGCATGTATAGGTCGATATGGTAAAGACTGTCAGCAAAAGTGTGAATGTGGTCACTATGGATTTGGATGTCGATATAGGTGCAACTGTACCGAAACTCAGAGGTGTGATGTCAAGATCGGCTGTGTCGGTAAGCATATAGCATCCATCTATCATTTAAAAATTAGAGTTTAAGAGTAATTAAATATTTCAAATTTTGGCATTGCTTTTTTTTTATACTACAAAGACCTTCTGTCTGAGACGACTGACTGCAAGTGCATCAAATCCTACCAAGGAGAGATCATAGGGGCGCTGGGCGTAACATTTGGCTTGATATGCTTGGCCGTGGCAGGTGCTCTTACCAGGCGATCAAAATTGTTGTATGGTAAGTAAGGTTGTAATATTTATCAAATGTATTATTTTTTCTCGTTTTAAATACACTGATTATATTTTCACCGTGCATAACAGAAAGGAAATTCATAACACAGAGCAGCGTTGATGATAAATCTACAGATAAAGACCAAAAACCTCTGAGTGAGCAATATCTTACTCCCATCTCTAATCAAGACAAATCGGTGAAGTCATCGGGTCATCTTCCAAAGAAACAGAGGAGGACAAAATTGGACCAATACCAAATGACAGAGGTTGCTGATGAAAGTCATGAATACAAGCCACTTCACCAGCCACGAGAGGATGTCACTTCTAGACCAGAAGGAAATGTTTCGGAATTCAGGCATTCATATGAAGAGCCAAAAAGCAGATACGATGAAATTCCAGATTACCAACATCTGAAAGAACATCGAGAAAGAAAACAACACCAATACACTTCTATAACAGGGTCTTCCAGATCCCATGTATAGTATCAACCCTTTAGGTTTGATTATTATTAATAATGTAAAAAAGCAATAAATACTTTTTTAATTATTAATCAGTCTTTATTGATTTCTTTAAAATCATCATCAAAAAAAAACAATAAAATAAATGACAGAAAACAAGATATCTCCTAGCTAGTGCGTCCATTTTAAAATTAGTCATTTGACATTCTAATCAATTATCCAGCCATTTTTAAAGCCATATTATCCACGCATTTCCTTCACCATCACTGACGACTAGTTGATTCTGGCTGGAAATAGACAGACCCCGGGGGCCTGGGGGATGGACTTCTAGGATCCCCAGGAGATCCCCTCGAGGGGACAGCTTCACAATACTGCCTCCAGCGCGGTCTGACACATAAACATTATCATCGGAATCCGTGGCCACGCCCTCTGGTTCCCAGTCAGAAATCCCTTTAAAGAACACACTCTGTTTTTGTCCCTCGTGAAATCTAGTGACCGAGTTTGATCGTTTTTCAGTCCAAATAAAATCTTGATTTTTATTCTCAGTTATGTAATTCATATCCACTTTTCTGCCAATGGGAATGTACCGAATTCTTTTTCCTCTCGTACTATAACATCTGAGGTCAGTAAAATCCCTGTTTCCAATAATGACGTCCTGTCTGGTTGTTTTCACTATCGGGTAGGGATGAGTGCGGGTTGGTGTATAACAATATATCTTTGTAAATGATTCGTTTCTGGTCTCTAAGTGAACGCCGGATGGGAAGTCAGATGCAATCACGCCACCAATACACGCAATCCTCTCAACTGATCCTTCGTGTAAATCCTTATACCAAAGACATGATCCTTTAATGTCAAAGACTTTAATCCTTTGATTTGCTTGGTCCCCAACAGCAAAAGTCGAATCTGTCAGCCAACAAACGTCGTTAATGACGGCCGGGGCGTTATCGGATGGGATACGTAGAGGAATGTGAGAATGATCTTTGACTTTAATGGTCCGAATAATGTCGGGACTAAAAGTTTCAGCTACTTTCTCAACTTTCAATGCTTCTTTAGGTAATAATACCTTAATTTTCGACTTATCCTTATCGTCATCATCATCGTCGTCATCATCTGTAATATTTTCATTCTCAGAACCTGTTCTTTCATCATCCGAGTCTGAATCATATAACATGTAGTCAAATCCAGAAGCTCCTTCTTCTTTAGGGGTTTCTCTCATTATTTTTTCTTCAGTTTGTTTTTCTGCTTTTTCTTCTGAATAAGGAATGGGGCTTTCAATTTTTTCTTTCGTTTTTGATATACCCCTGTTAGAAAAACCACCAATTGGAATTAGTGTATCTTCCTCGCCAACAAGTCGAGCGGTTTTTGGAATTCCAGATTCATCTGTTTGTTGGTCATGGTCTTTTTCATTTTCTTCTTTAACAGCAAATATTTGGGGAATACAAAATTCTAATATGCTAAGTTTCAAATCAGGAATTGATGGAAACTCCATCTTTTCTCTCCTACAACCGGTGCTTTTGACTCTTTGAAGTAATTCTCTAAAATGAATAGATTCCTCCGCTAAACCCTGCTGTAGAAGGGTTTCGCAGAATAGTCGCGATTTCTGCGTGCTTTCTGAGCGCTTGTGTACGGATTCTAATGCCTCTGATAATGACAATTTTACGACTTCAAATGGATGAGACAATGCCATCTCGGCTGCAGTGGCTTGTTGCTGTATTTCTTGAATAAGTTTGTCTCGTGTTTCTTCTACGAGCTGTAACAAACCTCTTTCTTTACTTTTCACCTCTTGGAGTCGTTTGGCAATTTGCATCTCATACTCGTCATCAACTTCTACTATACTCTCGTACATCTGTAAAATATTTGAGAGATTTTCTTGCACCTTCGATGCAGCATCTCTGAGCGGCATACATTTATGTTGCTTGTGAGTTGTTTGAAAACATTCAAAGCAAACTGGAGTGCTACACTGTATACAGAATTCTATAATTTTTTCACTGTGTTCGGTACATTTTGTTTCGTGGAGCTTTCGTAGCTCAGATGAATATTTGGGGTCTGCTCTGACATCATTGATGCTCATTACGTCATGATTTCTTGTAATCCGGGTTCCGCAGTGACGTTCTGCACACGTGAGACACAACCAATCACCGCAGGTCAAACAAAGAGAACTCGCTTCCTCAGACTTACCATGCTCCTCACAGAACGAACAACAAAAGTGACGATTAGAGTGGAGAATTTCCTCCACTTTTCCGATGTTTGTGATGAATGTATTCGGAGTCAGGGTATCAATCGACTGATTTGACAGACTTGTATGGTTTCCACAAAGCTCGCATACGACAACGTCCTTGCTGGCTGCCTGTTCTTGTTTGATGACGAGACATTCTGTACAGAACGAATGGAGACAGTCCAACAACCGTGGTTCTGTTAATCTACGATCACATATCCCACAATTCAGCAGCCGTTCCCGTTCTGCTCGGTTTAACGTAGCCATCGTGTTTTCAAGTGTAGTAATTGAAGTCCTTTGCCATAGTCATGATTTCAATCTACAAATAAAAAAAATAGATGAAAAGAATATCAAGGAGAATAACCTGTTTCTATTAATCAAACTGAAATATAATCCGTGGAAGAGTGTCCTTTTCTGATATTTGTAAGTACCAGTATGTCAAATGACAGTCATTTTCCTTGCTCAATACTCAATTCCTAGACATCCCCCCCCCAAAAAAAGCAAAATTTAATAAAAAATAAAATAAGCGGTTTTGAATATACAAAAAAAAGTTTAGAACTGTCTTTACCGGAGATACTTTCAGCGTGTAAAAAGTGTAGTATATTTTATGAAATTATGCATATTATAAAACATATGAGAGAAAAAACGTAAAAAAAATATACACAAAGAAAAAAATTTGAAAAGCATAAATAGGAAAATGTGTAACTGAACTCGAGATATCAATATCTTTATTCCAGCAATCATTGATGTCGAAAGGACAATTTAAAACAGAAAGATACATTTTAAGATAAAATATGAGAAAAAAATTGAATAAATATTTCATCAACTTCAGAATGAAGATCTTTAACTAAAAATAATTTAATTTCACTTGTATCAAGCAATTTCATTGGCTGAATCATTCAGAGGAACATATAATATTTTGGATAACATAACTTGCCTACGTCACAATGAGTAATGTCAAAAATGTATAACTCCGCTTGACGTTACTTTTAAAATAATGCTCAATTTGAAGTCTTTTTCCGGAGGAAATATTGACTCATTGTCTACACTAGAATTAAATTATAAGGAATGAAGCTAATTTCAACTTATGTTATCCAATATAACAAAACTTGGGGCAGTTTACGCTTTTTTTATAAACCGCTTCGTGGTTTATTAAGCATAAACTGCCCCAAGTTATGTTATATCGGATAACATAAGTTGAAATAAGCTTCATTCCTTAATTATCCTAATATTATGAAAAGCAATTGTTCCTAATAAAATTTTTCAATTGTGTTTCTCGTTATGGGTAGTATTTGATTTACAATTTGTCATATATATATACGGTGGATTCCTTGAGGTGTTTCCATCCTCACAATTTTAATGGTTCAAAATACAACAAGAGGCCCATGGGCCACATCGCTCACCTGAGCACTGTGGCTAGGAAAAAGTAGAAATTGGTTTATTATTGAAAAGTTTAAATCCGAAAGTACCGGTAGTCCCATGACCAATCATGGCTTTGCTATTCTTGATAAGATGATTTTAAATTTTAAAGAATTTTTCTATATATGTGATTGTCTATGTAAAACTTTGATCGGCCATTGTGGCCCCGCCCTTTTCCCCAGGGTCATGATTTAAACGAACTTAAATCTACACTACCTGGGGATGCTTCATTATAAATATGATCAATTATAGCTTTTCTATTCTTGAGAAGAAGAATTTTGAAAGAATTTTCCTTAATATTTCTATGTAAAACTTTGGTCGGCCATTGTGGCCCTGCCTTACCCCCAGGGGTCATGATTTGAACAAACTTCAATCTTCCCTACCTGAGAATGCTTCCATATAAATATGATCAATTATGGCTCTGCTATTCTTGAGAAGAAGATTTTTAAAGAATTTTTCTATATATTTCTATATAAAACTTTGGACGGCCATTTTTGCCCCCGACCTACCCCCGGGGGTCATGATTTGTACAAACTTTAATCTACACTACCTGAGGATGCTTCATTATAAATATGATCAATTATGGCTTTGCTATTGAGTATTCTTGGGAAGAAGATTTTTAAAGATTTTTTCTATATATTTCTAGGTAAAACTTTGGTCGGCCATTTTGGCCCCCATCCCATCCCCGGGAGTCATGATTTGAACAAATTTGAATCTACACTACCTGAGGATGCTTCATTATAAATATGATCCATTATGGTTATGCTATTCTTGAGAAGAAGATTTAAAAAAAAAAAATCTATATATTTCTATGTAAATCTTTGGTCGGCTATTGTGGCCCTGCCCTACCCCAGGGGGTCATGATCTGAATAAACTTGAATCTATACTACCTGAGGATGTTTCCCCATAAGTTTCATCTTTCCTGGTATGCGGTTCTTAAGAAGAACATTCTTTAAAACATGCCACCAAATTTTCATTAATTCTCGATTATCTCCCTTTGAATGAGGGCATGGCCCTTCATTTGAACAAACTTGAATCCCCTTCACCCAAGGATGCTTTGTGGCAAGTTTGGTTGATATTGGCCCAGCGGTTCTTGAGAAGAAGTCGAAAATGTGAAAAGTTTACAAACAGACGGACAGCTAGACAGACGGACGCCTGACAAAATTTGATCAGAAAAGCTCACTTGAGCCTTTGGCTCAGGTGAGCTAAAAACTGCATTTATTTTCATTTAATATACTTTAAATTTTCCAATTATTTCAAAAAAATGTAAAGGTCACCATATTATTTAAGATGTGGTATGTCAATACAAAAATATTGTACATTTTTTGTTAACAGTATTATGAAAATATGTAAAAACTGGTTAAAATGCATAATTCTAATGCTGAATGTTCTTAAATACTTCCTACTTATAAGATTATTTTGAATTGTGAATATCAGGGAAACTATTTTACATTTGAAGTACAATAAAGTTTATGCCTAAATATTTACATTTCCAATAAATTTCCACTTCTTTACAAAATAAAATGCAGTATATTTTCTCATGAACTACATTAGGTATGTATCACAAATAAGCATGAATATCTCCATTGTTACATCATAATACCGCTCTTGACGTCAAAAAGCAAAAAACATAGTGCAAACTGTTTTATTTTAAAAATGACAGTTGAACGGCGTAAATTTATGGCAAGTCATCAGAAAAATAATGTAAATATAAGGAATGATTTTTTACAAGATTTATGAGGTATATGAACTATAAGGCTTCATGCTGGTATATTTATTATGATGCGCTAACGCGCTTCATGAAATAGGCCGGCGTGAAACGTCGTAGTTCATAACCTCATGAATCTTCAAAAATTAAATTCATTTCTTAAATGAAGAGAACTTCTGAAGGAGTTATTGCCCTTGTCAATATTTTTTTAAAGATTGAATAGTTGATTAAAAACGAAAATATGCATTTTAAAAATTTTTTAACTTAACAATATTTAATTATCATAACACCTATTCTAAAGCACTCTTCCAAAAGATATTGTTCTATTAGGTATGAATTGAAACTTTAAATTACAGCTTTTGCAAAAGTATATATGACATCATAGGAGGGTGGAATTACCTTAATATTTACTTTATGAGTCATTGTTAAAATCTGCGGAAATAAAATATTGGGAAAAAATCAACAAATTCCTTGCGTTTTGAATATTTTTTCTTTTAACTGTTACAATAAAACATATATAATCCACACAAATTGGATAATTTTCATATTCAGTGGTAAGAGCAGCTGTCAGACTAATAATACAGGGGTCCCGAGTTCGTTCCCGGTCTAGCCAAAATTTAATATATATTTAATGTATGTTTACTCATTCATCCTTTCCATATAATACAATAAGATCTAATCAACCCATACACCATACGTAGTCTAATACTAAATCTAAAACTAAATCATAGTCTTTCATGTGACATATATATCCTCTCATTCGCTGTTTTACAGTTCTAGTTTAGGCATTATTTATTCAAGATAAACATGGATCCATTCATGGCGAATAAAGGTAACTTATTCATGTTTACATTCCTTATACAGTTCAAGTCTTGTTAACTGAGTGTGTTAATATTTATGAGTGAAATTCACATCCGTTTTGACTCTTATGATTCGTCATTTACCGGTTGTAATCACTTTCATTAATATTTCCCTATCTTTGATCATCATTTAAACAGCCGACCTACCTCTTTCTCTAACTGCTGACACCTATCGTTGTTTTACTTCTCATAAATGACCTCTTTATCCCTGCCCTGTTCCATGAAAAAAGCTAAGGTTTTACTTTCGTTTTAGATATCAACAAAATAATAATAAGGAAACCCCTAGGGGACTTTTAACAAAATTTATAAAGCTTACCGATTTCTATCACTAATAGAATATTCTTATCGGATTTAGGATGGTTGTCATCCGCATGCAAAGAATGCGATATATTTCAGATATATAAAATGTAGAATTTTATATTTAATTCATTTTCCTTGATTTTTAGCTGATATTAAGAGCCATTCTCTGTAATGATTTAAAATTTTATATAGGAGCTGTGAAACGCATAGTCTCAGAATTTATCCAAACTCTCTATGATAAAAGTGATTGATACTCTAAACTGAAATCATGCAAAAATTGGTTGCTATGCTTTATAGTTACGTACCATGGTAACATGTCTTAAAGTTCGAAAAATGACATTTTTTAACATGTTTAGAGCCCCATAGTTAACATTTGCGGCAAAGCAAACAATTGGCAATCACTGTTTCCAAAAGTTGAAAGTCAGTCTTCTCAAATGCATGAAAAACATTTTTGGTAAATCAATTATCACATACGTTACTATGGTAACAATCTAAACAAATTATTCAAAAGTAAAAAAAAAAATTCATTGAATTTTATAAAGTCATACATGTAAAAATTAAAAGCAATTATAGGATAAAATGTGACCAAATAATAGAAAAAAGAGCCCTGAAACATATACCAAGAACAAAATGTGAAATTTCATTTTGGTTGGCAATGGTTGCCAAGGTTTTTATACCACAGAGAGCTTTCAAAGTAACACTCTGTATGTTTAAATCTGATTCTATCTTTTAAAAAAGCACATTTCCTAATAACTAATGATCAATTTTTAAAAATGTTGGTGTGCTCCTAGTTTTCCCATTTGAAAAAATTCAGATTAGATTCTTTAAATTGAGCGTTGCTATGGAAATAAGCAGAAAATATATGCTTAAAAACCTGAAAAATATTTTCGTTCCTTGGATACGTACCCTTAAATGAAGATTCCCAAAATATTTATGATTGATATTTATTAACAGCTAACATGACCTTTAATTCTGACTATCATCCAATCTTTAAGTGGATGCAAGAAGTTGGCACAAAGGGTTTAATATTGATATAAAGTTCACAAAATCGAACATTTTCCCTTCTTGGTAACCATAGCAACAGTGTTGTTTTCCTCATCAAATTTTATCAATATATGATATTCAACTTCAGTTCTAACAGATAAGTACTATTCGAGCTGAATCCTTTAATTTGTTTTTTGATTATATAATGGCAATTTAATTCTTAATGCTGCGAAAAATAATTAACTTTTAAGCACTGGTACTTTATTTCCATGGTAACACTGCAAAGTAGCAATTATACCCAATTTTTCTTATGGTTTCGGTGATGAAAAGTCCTATGGATGCATATTTGCCAGTCTTGAATTTTCATGTTTTTCCTCAGGACAGTAGCATTAACCCAACCTTAGTTACTGGTTTTGCATGCTTACACTCTGTTACCATGGCAACCATAAAAGTTATTTATAGAATAATATTGCTTATACTTATATACTTAAGGTCAAACATTTTCACTGTATTTCTTAAGTCGTTGATTGAGTTTGAGTATGTAACACCTACCATTAGTGAATACGGAGTGTTTTTCAGCATATTTCAGCATTTTGGATGTATTCCAAATGTACCCTTGGTTACCACTTACTTAGAGATATATTCTAAACAGTTTCTTTACAGTATAAGTGACATCACGGTGTCATGTTTTTGTGAGAATTGTTTGTTTGCTTTTTCTAGTTTTTATTAAGCCACAGTCAAGATTTAAAGTGGCTGAAAATCTCGATTTTCAAAATTTTCCGGCTGTTTCCATGGCAACCGAAACACTTAGCAACAAAATTTTGTTGGATATTTGTTTCTGGTGTCAAGTACAAGTCATGGGTGAAGTTTCATCAAAATCGGTGACCATGCCCGGCTACGAAGTTCAAGTGGTTACAGAAAATGGCAATGAAAATGTCTTGTCAAATGTTAAATAAATATTACGTCACAGTTCAGTGGTAAGACGAAAAACCTTAACGAAAAATCTGAATTGAGATGACGAAAAGTAATCAACACAGGCACTTGTTTCGGAAATAAATTTTTAACCCATAGTTTAGTTATTACCGTATAAGTAGAATTTTTAGCGTGCATTTAATTTTGGCATTATTAGCGAGGCTGCTGTCATCGCTAAAATTGAATACCAAAAAAAATTAATTGCGTATTATTTGTAATAGCTTCTTTAGTTAGCATTTTGAAATCGCTAAAATTATTTCTCGCTAAAAATAAAATACATTGTACCAGACTTTGGGTAGAAATCGCTAAATTTGCCTCTCGCTAAAATTTCCACTTATAAGGTATTATACTATAGGTTAAAAATTTCTTTCCGCAACAAGTGACTGTGGTCGTAATTATGAAAACGTGTTAAAAATATAATCTACTCCATAAAAAATCTACTTTCGGTTCGATATGGAATATTGTAGGAAAATGTCAGCAAATCCAATTAACCAAGCTTATATCTATGAGTCAAATGCTGACTCAGACGTTTTTCATACTAACTGTTAAGGTCATGCATAATTCACTTTATATCTACATATTTTTTTATTTTCGGTTTCCAATACGTCTTAATACGAATTGTTGAAATTCATTATGTCATCAACTTATCTGTCCGTATCCTTTGTCGTTTTGAAAACTGATCTTACTCTAAGCATACATTCACTTGAATATCGATTTAGTAGGGAGACAAATCTTCAAATGCTGATGATAGCTGAATATTCTATATAAATAAGAAAAAGCCTATACTCAACGACTTTGCTAGATGTTGGATACATGCATCTACATGTGGTTTTTTTTTTATTCTATGTATTTAATATAAAGTATATATTTTGTTACTTTTTTATAAAGGTGCATTACAAGACATCAAAATGAGCCGTCTTAATCGTTTGTTTTGAATTAAGACCTCCCTTTCAGTGGTGTGTATATATGTTAAGAACTAGGAGTTAAAAAAATTGTACTGCAGTGTAATATATATAGATTGATTGATTGATTGTATACTGTTTAAGTTAACGTCCCTCTCCAGAATATTTCACTGATATGGAGACGTCACCATTGCCGGTGAAGGGCTGCAAAATTTAGGCCTATGCTCGGCACTTACGGCCTTTGAGCAGGGAGGGATCTTTATCGTGCCACACCTGCTGTGACATGGGGCCTCGGTTTATACGGTCTCATCCGAAGGACCGCCCCATTAATCGCCTTTTAATACAAGCAAAGGGTACTGAGGACCTATTCTAATCCGGATCCCCACGGGTAAACATATAAATAGTTTTTAAATGAGGAAAGGGTGGCTATTATTTCAGAGATAAGTATCTGTTGCAATACAATTGCTAGAAAAAAAGTTATTTTTTGTTAGAGGCCGTGTAACTTATACTTGATTGTGGGGTGTTAAAAATTGAAACATATGAACCATTAAGTTACATACACAAAAGGAAATTATGACAGCCACAGAATTAAATGTTTGACTTGAAACTGCAAACAGGAAATGCCTTTTTTTAATTGATATTCACAAGTTATATGAAAATGTCTTTACATGTTATATTTTTAGGTTTGTTTGTGGTTACGACTGCTAAATATACCATGACAGTTCTGGAGTTTGCAATGTGTCATAAGTCTTGTTTTGCTATAATCAAAGTTTTGCACTCTGCAATTATAATTTGATAAACAATATTTATAATCATTTATGTATATCTCAATATCTTGTTTTCAGATGGGTGAATAACAAAATGAGACTGAGTTGTTGTATGGATTTTCAGTTAATCAAAGGGGACTGCAGGCGTGAGTTGTTTTACCGGGTAAATTGAAATATAAAGGAAATAGTTCGACAATTGGTTTTTAAATAATATTTAATCCATAGAACTAAATTCTTATCTCTAAGTAACTCAAAACTTAGACTGAACATGTAAATATAAGTTTGTATTGAGTAAACTTTATGGAAAGTAATTATTGTATTCTGCAAATAAATATTTTAAAAATACTATCTACGAAAAATGAATTCTTACCGGTACATGAGAGACTTCCCCAGCTCCACCTCACCCAAACCTCGAAGTAAACTTTTCGAGTTTGGACACGTTTAGATTGGGAATTCCAAGCAATTAAAGGGTACACAATCACTAATTATTAGTACATGAAATCATTAATTAGTTCCCACTAAGTACAATGTAAAATGTATTTGATTTTTTTTTCAGCTTGTGTTGGACGACACGGACCTAACTGTCCTCACCCTGTAAGATTGGATTCTTTGGATTTGGATGCCGTCAACTCTGTAACTGTTCAGACAGACAGGGGTGTGACCGACACAAAGGCTGTTTCGGTACGATTTATGATTCGATGAATCATTTTCCTCTTTTTCAATTCTTTAATTGGCTGAATTATTTTTTTGATAAATAAAACTGATTTTCACGTAACAAATATACTGTAAATAATTTGTTTTACTTTCAACCCCGCCCAAGCCTCAGACAGTAAGTTTCTTAATGTTAGTCCAATGACATTCACACAAACTGAGTAAGAGAAAAAGTATTCATTTTATTTCAAATTGAAATTAAATCTTTCTAAATATTGCATTGAGCATTATGCATAGAGCACACAGAGAAAAACAACATATCATTCTGTGGCGTTGCTGTTTTTATCATAATTGTGTTATCATCTTTATTTTGGGGAATAGTTTTTGTACTTATTAATAAAAAGTAAATCTGAAAGCTAATTTTTAATGTCAAAAATGTTGTTAAATGTTGTCTAACTACACCATAAAAATACATTTCTTAGATGAGAGTTATTGAATTCCATAGTTTAAATGATTGTTAAATGACACTTTTAAACAATCGGTAGGTTGTGTTTTAAAACCTCTAGTGTAATGATTATGGTTACGTTGGAATAAAAAGGTAAAGATAAAACACATCTTTTAAAGCCGCTTAATCCGAAACGGACACATATTATCTTATACAATAAAAGTATGTCATTACATAGATAATATATAAAAATTAATTATAAGATTGATTTAATAGTTTATTACAACAATCCTTACATGGAAAACCTAGACCAAAAACCTTGTTGACAAACAGCAGTTCCTGACGGGAAGTTAAGATCTGTTTTGAAGTCACCTTTGAAAAAATACTTTTATCGGATATACCAGGTATCTAATTATAAAGAGAATTCAAACCCGAGTATTTTTTCAATCAGTAGAATCCTACAAATTAAAGAATTAATTGAATATAATCCACAGTAATTTTTATATTAATATGCATATTTACAGAATAAAGGAAAATAGGATATTTTAAAAGATTTTTTTAAAAGGGGGTTTAGTAACGAAAGCTAGAATATTGCCCGTGTACACTTTGTTGTGGAAAAAAATGCTCGGGTTTGTTCTTCATGAGTTATACATGTAAGCGATAAATTCAATTTTTCGAAGGTGACTTCACGCAATGTCAACAAATGTCAACAAAGGTTTATTTATTGTGTGACTTAACAAAAATTATTTTTTTTTTACTTTTGAATTTTGATATCTTTAAAAAGAAAAAGACTTTGGTGATATAATTTGACAAAAGTTGAAATAATTTATGGACAATTATTTTTTCAAGAAGAATATAAATATAATTTTTAGCGATTAGAATCGGACCAAGCGGCTTTAAAAATCTACAAACAATGTAGCTGCAGAACTGTAGCTCTTTGCTTGAGAAAATTCGGACAGAATGCTTTTAAAATGCAGATAAACCATGAGATATGACAATTTTGTCCTGGAATGACTGATCACTGCATTTTAATTGATTATCTAATTGCATTTAAGAGTCACTTGGAGTGTAGTCTTTAAGTGGCAATCCAACGTAGAGTCATAGTTCCCTTTCTAAGGAGGAAATTATTCAAAACCATATGTCAGTTTAATTCTTTTTTTATATATTTCAAGCAATTAAATTGAATCTGAATTACCATACCTATGCTGGATTCTTAAATTACATAAAATCCTTACAAAGATTCTGAGCGGGTTCCCGACCGGTTGAGCCTATTTCCTTGCTTCTCACTAATATATTTGCAACAGTGAAAGATAAACTTCAAGAGTACTGTAAAATAACATCTTAGAAACTTAAGTATAGATTAATGCGCGTGTAAATTCAAAACTTACGTTATGTACACATGTGTTTTTTCCAATTAAAAAATTGAAAACTTTATGAAATTGAGTTAGATTTGTATTTAAAATTAAATTATAAGGAATGAAGCTTAATTTAACTTATTTTATAAGATATAACATAACTTGGGGCAGTTTAAGCTTCATTCCTTAAATAATTCAACATGCAGTGCATTTCAATCCTTAATGCTTGATGCTACGTTGTTTAGAATGATCCCTTCCTCACTGAAGTATGGCATGAGGGTATTTGAAATTCCAGAATATTGTTGTTCCTGGCTATAGATACTTAATATTGTCTCTTAAATTTCTAGTTAGTGTCAATCTGGACTTTATTATTAACTAGCTTGTACCCAACACTGAGACTAGCTGTTCTTCGCCGCTCTTATAATTGTGGTTACTCGCACTGATTGAGCATCTGAGTTTCAAATGAGTTGTTGTGATATTGGATATTTAATGTGGAAATACCGGGCTGCTCTGTGCTGAATTATTTCAATTTTATAAACAACAGACTATTGGTGGTGATTCCAGGCCACATTGGCATACTCTACAGTTAGTCTTACTAATGATGTGTATATGCTTATCCTTGATGTTATTATTAACAATGATTTCCTCCCGATCATGACAAGAAGAACATAACTGGATGACAAGTCGGCAGGGGTTGATCACTATGTGGCATCTGATCCCACCTCTGATGTTTTAGAGGACCTCATTTGCTTTGCCCCTGATTCTCATTGTTTGAATGGACTTATGGGCTAAACTTAAATACTGTTCGTAATTTCCATCTTTCATTTCAAGCATTTGCGCTACCTCGACCAAAACAAACTTTTCAACCTTACTGGATACCTATATCTGTCCGTCTGTTATGCTGTGCTTCCGTCGATCCATCCGTCCGTCCGACTGCTACACCTTTTTTTTCTACAGGTCATGTAACTTTTGCCGGACTGTGGTGTGGTAAAAATAACACCATATGGACCATTAAGTTACATATACAAAAGGAAATGATGATAGCCACAATATTAAATCGACTCGAAACTGCGAACAGGAAATGCCTGGGTTTTTTTTATTTGATAATCACAAGCTGCTACATATAAAAAATGTCTTTACTTCTTACATTTTTGGGTTTGTTTGTGGTTACGACTGCCAAATACCAAGACAATCCTGGAGTTTGCAATGTTTCGTGAGCTTTGTTTCGTTATGAACAATCTTTAGTTTAATAAACAATATTTTAGATTATTTGTGTATAACCTCTTAACCTTGTTTTCAGATAGGTGAATAAGAAAATGAGATTGGGTTGCTGTGTGGATTTTGAGGTAGTCAACGGTGACTGCAAGCGTGAGTTGTTTTATTTTCAAATATAAAATGGAATCGTTCGACAATTAGTTTTTAAAATATATATTATCCATAGTACTAAATTCTTCTCTTTTAGTAATACAAAACATAAGCTGAACATGCAAATTTAAGTTTTTATTGAGTAAACTTAATAGAAAGCAATTTATTGCCCACCATTCTGCAAATGAATATTAAATACTATTAGCAGAAATTAATTCTTACATCAAAGACCACACCAACCAAACTTCGAAGTAAAGTGTTCGAGTTTGGACACGTTTAGATTGAGAAATCCAAGCAATGAAAGGGTAAACAATCACTAAGTACAATGTAAAATATATTCACATTTTATTATCAGCTTGTATTGGACGACATGGAGTGAACTGTACATTCCCCTGTAGGTTTGGATTCTTTGGATTTGGATGCCGTCAACTCTGTAACTGCTCCGACTGACAGGGATGTGACCGACACACTGGCTGTTTTGGTACGAATTATGATAAGATGAATCATTTTCCTCTTTTTCAATTCTTTAATTGGCTGAATTAATTTTACATAAATAAAACCGATTTTCAAGTAACAAATATATTGTAAATGATTTGTTTTACTATTCAACCCCGCCCAAACCTCAGACAGTAAGTTTTTTTAAACGTTATTCCAAAGATATTCTCTCAAACTGAGTAAGAGAAAAAAGTATTCATTTTATTTAGTTCAAATTGAAAGTAAACCTTTCTAAATATTGCATTTAGCACAAATCTAATTCTGAGCACAAAGAGAAAAACAACATATCATTCTATGGTGTTGCTGTTTTTGTCACTATTGTTTTGTCATCTCTAGCTTGGGTAGGAGTCTTTGTATTTATTAATAAAAAGTAAGTCTGAGAGCTAATTTTCCTTGTCAAAATGTTGTTAAATGTTGACTTAATGCACCATGAAAATACATTTCTTAGATGAGAGTTATTGAATGTCCGTTGTTTAAATGATGGTTAAATGACACTTTTAAACAAAATCTGTAGGTTGTGTTCTAAAACCTTTAGTGTAATGGTAATTGAAACAAAAAGGTGAAGATAAAACAGAGCTGTAGCTCTCCGCTTGAGAAAATTCGGATAGAATGTTTTTAGAGGAACTTGGAGTGTAGTCTTTAAGTGGCAATCCCGCTTAGAGTCATAGTTCCCTTTCTAAAGAGGAAATTCAAAATCAGATGTCAGTTAAAGTCTTTTTTTTTAAATATATATTTTCAGCAATTAAATTGAATCTGAATTACCATACCTAGCTATATGCTGGATTCTTAAATTACATAAAAATCATTACGAACATTACGATACTGAGCAGGTTCCACTTAGCCTATTTCCTTACTTCTCACTAATATATTTGCAACAGAGAAGGATAAACTTCAAGAGTACTGTAAAACAATATATTAGAACTGGGGCAAATAACTACTTAAAAGCTCAAGGGAACATTTAGAAAATTTGAAATCACAAAACTTTACAAAAATTAAAAACATCAAAACGAACAAATTTTCAACACATCATAAAACATTTACACGATTAATGAAAGTCCAATTTTTTGACATCATTAACAGGAAACATAACAGCCGCTTTTTCAATAAATATGGAACTCTTAATTTTTTTACTATGTCACTTTTGCGCCAAAACACAAACAAACAATATAAAGATTATCCTATTACGTTATCAGCAAGGTATCTTTGCACGTATCACAAAATGGAGATGGTCTGACAAGAAGAAAGTTTGGTTTGTGCTTTATTTATTTGTTTCTTTAAAACTTAATGTTCTCAAAAAGATATAAAATTGTGTTAAATAGGAATTGAGTGAATTTGTACATGTATGTGATAAATCATGAAAAAAAAGAGGACCATTCTGGAAATATAACGTCATGAATTTGGTAATTATCTTAATTTTAAACAGAAGGATAAGGATATAACGAACAGTATTCAATCTCAAGGTCCATAAACAATACAAAATAAAAGCAGAGCAAACATGGACCTCCGAAACATCAGAGGTGGGATCAGGTGCCATGGAGGACTGAGCATCCCCTGCCGACCGGTCATACCCGCCGTGTGCTCCTTGTCATGATCAGGAAATAATGGAAAACATCCGTCGTTAATTCAGTGTAAAAATAATGGACTAAAAATTGGTATGAAAAACGTCAGTCAGCATTTGACTCAATGATAAATTGTATTTGCTGACAAGGTCATTGTATCGACCATAGAACTTACGAAATGATGACTTTAAACGGAACTGCTGATATTCTTATTTCATCAACTTGCTTGTCAGAAATTTACCTCGTTTCAGAAATTGTCCATACGTAGAGCATGCTCTTGCGTATCGAATCAACTGAGATATATATGCTCCGTATGCAGGTGATGAAGGTATATTGCTGCATAAGTAAGTGAAGTTGACGATAGAAAAGAGAAAGTCATCACGTTTATCATATAGTTTGGTAGTTAGATTACCATTAGCGTCTTTTTCAAGTAAAATATCCAAGTATGAAACAGAAGTGTCAGACTCCTCCATGGCACCTGATCACACCTCTGATGTTTTGGAGGTCTGTGTTTGCTCTGCTCCTATTTTGTATTGTGTAATGGACTTTGAGATTGAATACTGTTCGTTATCTCCATATCCTTACAGAAAAAGCCTTCAAATTATTCATTTAAGTGGTTATTTCACTTTAGAAAAAAAGTGTCGACAGCCGTTGCCCACTTTAATTTTTAGATGTGTTGTGTAACATGCTTTGGAAAATCACTTTTTTTCAAAATCTTTGTCTGCAATGCATGTGATGCATACTAGTATCATTTATTAACAAAAGGAAATTTCACTGAAAAATGATGTCATCTGCAACTTTTTCTGAAAATGTGTTAAAATGTACCATATTCAGAAAGGATAAAATTTAATTTCTTTTATCACTTCCCTTCCATCATTTAGAAAAAAAATACAAGTCCATATTTTTATTGAAACGGTACCTTTTTCTTTGCCAAAAACATATATCTTTTTTGAAAACAACAGTTCTATATGAGTAAAAGTTTGTTATTTTTGCTTGTTCATCAAATATCAAAAAGGTACTGAAGGGAATACGTAGTAACACTTGCATTATGGTCGCAAAATTTTCTATGTGCTGAACGAATTCCAGTAATTTACTATCATTGTTAGAGTACGAGGGGGTATCAAAAAGTTCGTGGACTAGCGCCATAAAATTAAAACCGCTTTAGGTTCATTAATGAATTTTTAAAATATCTATTAAGCATCGTCCTTTCTATTTATAGAAAAAAACACGTCATAAATTTTATTAATTTTTTATAAATAAGTAAGGTTTCTGAAAGCATTAGTTTGTCCAGGCGGCGCAACCTTGAACACGACGTTTTTCCAACCTAAGTGTAACTGAGAAAAACTCGTTTGATATGAACATTTGACATCTAAAAATCACGTTAATTCAGGTATCCGCTTGGACACTATTGTTCCATAAAATATGGAATTTTTACCTCATTTTATCTTAAATTTTACATGGAGCTTCCAAACAAATAAGGCCTTGAAAATGATGTCAAAACGGGGGAGGGGTATCCTTTTCCAATATTCTATGAAGTTCTGCCCTTAAAAAAAACTGGTACAGACCTAGGAAATGTTTAATCTGAGTACGGAGAAACAATATGCATCCAGAGTACTTGTTTTAATGACAAAATAAATTCAGAGAGAAAAGGAATGCAAAGTTTATGTCGATTTGAAGTCAAGGTGTGAAAAAACAATCACGTCAGAAATGACGTTGATCATGTGTTGTAGCTATTGAACTCCAAAAAGCAAAATAAGCTGGCAGAATCAAACGAGGATCTCTCCCAGTGTATAAATCTATTTGAAATTTTATATGCCCTGAAGTTGCTGTTCAGGACATTGTAAAGTTGTAAGAACAAGACGGGTTTAAGTCTTACTCAGTTCCAGGGAATCTCATCAAACTAAGTGTATGAGGTAGAAGAAGGGGAGATAGAAAAACAATGACGTTGCCGTATGTCATGAAACTGAACGGCGACAGCGCCAGGTTATTATATGTCGTTTTAATTTTATAAAAATTTGGCAAATAATGAACGTATTAAGCTCAAATTTTCAACAATTATTTATTTTTTGTTGTTTAATGTTCCTTGAAAATTTCGAAGGCACAGACTACGTAGTTCTAATTTGATAGCCTCAGTCCAAAATTTTTTGATAATCCCTCGTATAAGTCGACTGATGATCTTAAATGTAGATTACAAATTGTTTAAGTCTGATTGTTCATTTTGTGTTAAGTTAATGCTGTCCCAAAATCAAAAGTTTTTGCTGCAACATGCAAATTAACATATAATAAGTATCTTTTTAATCAAGAAGTATAAGTAATAATAAATGGAATATCAAAATTTCATATATCTCACACAATAACGTTTTTGGAAATAGGTCTACCTTACATTATATGATAATCTTTATATAAATTTCAAATGTATAAATGATCTCCAACAAATCCTGCAGCAAAGGACAAAGGACTTTCTGGGACCTATTCTTGTCTAAGTGGAAGCAATTTTTTTTCAATTCATTGAAAAGGTCAGTTTAATCAAATGTTTACTTTTATTCTTTGATTCTTTAGATATCGCTGTTGACAAGAGCACAAAGTCTTACAGTGGAGAGATCCTAGGGGCTGTAGGAGTTTTATTTGGAATCATTTGTTCGTCTATGGCAGGTGCTCTTACCAGGAGGTTCAAATTGCATTATGGTAATTTCTTTAAAATCCTCAAATATATTACTATCTCCTGTTTTTATTTATGCTATTTTTCATTTTTACGATTTCTTATAGAGAAGAAATACACTACAAACAGGAACAACGTTAGGGATGAGAAGACGAGTGTGGAAGCTCAATCAATTCAAGGGCAATACCTTACTCCTATTCCCCTGAAAGACAAGACGATGACGTCATCAAGTAACCTTGTTAAGAAACAGGGACGGACTAACCAAGACGAGACGACGGAAGACACAGCACTAGAGAGCGGGTACACGGAAATTTCAGATTATCAACAACTAAAGGAAAGCAGGGCCAGAATAGAACACCAGTATGCAAAACTCAGAGACTCCTAAATCATCTTCGTAGTTTTAACTTTTCGGATTACACTTTTTTATTTTTAAAAATAGAATTTAAAGTTTGTCTTCATAATAACACAGGTTACTAAAATCACAGTCACGAGGTATTGTTTGAAATCATTCTTCAGTATTCTTACGACCGCTTTATAAACAATTCATATACCGGAGTGACCTTTGGAAAAAAACTGGGAATTTTTCTTTTAAAATCTAATCCTACAATTTTTAAAACGAGATATATCCATTATTAGAAATATTTATTTAATACAGATAAAGATTTGTGTGTTTAAATATTTGTAGTAAATACATTCCCTACTTTTATTTTGGCCAATACATTTTGATATATTGATTTGTTATTTAATTTCTATCTTACTAATACTCAGGTGTGTTTGTTTGCTTGTTGTTTAACGTCTCGAGAATTTTTCACTCAAATGGAGACCCTACCACTTAAATTAACTAAAATATAAAACTAACCAGTAAGACACAATCTCAAGTCTTTTAGACATAATCCGTTCAAAGTTTTATGGACATGTCATGGATCTAAGCATTTTAAGGACATACGCAAGGTACCTTACCTACTAAAAATTTTTCAAGATATTCTGAATTTTAATTTATAATACCATTACATGTTCCTAGACAAAAAATCAGCATGCGTTACCAGGGGTTTTGGAAAGATATCAAATTGTGGAAAATTTTGCATTATTCAAGAAAAAATATGTACAAAAAATACAAAACATAAATTACAGATTTTTTTTTCATCAAAAATTGTTTTAGAAGAGGTGTACAAATTCATATATAGACATTTAAGGTATTGCACACAGGTCCTTCATTTAGTGGAACTCTTCAACTCCAGGAAAGAGCCCAATAAAATTTAAACTACGCTGCGTGTGACCTTAATGCATAAATATTTATTCAAACCTCTGTCTATTCACTTTCATATCAAAATAAGTTTGTTTTATTTCATTAATTTTTCTTTTTATTTATTTTATCTATTTTATCATGTAAAGTAAGATTACATAATTGGATTTGACATCAGGCATTGCCTATATAAGTCCTCTCCAGGGTCAAGGTTACAAATGTTAAGAATAGATAATGATTTACAATGATGAAAAAATTCCTTATAAGTTACATTAAATTCTTTTGTTAACTAAGGTGGGAAAAAAGATAAAAAGAAATGAATCGAATTTAATTATACAGAAGAGTTATTACTAAGTATTTATACTCGCTATACAATATAATGACAAGAAAATAAATAAGTGCAAACAAACAGCAAAACAGAATATGCAAATAAATAAAGTGCAAAGAACCAAAAAAATATGTAAAGAAAAATACAAAACAGAAGGAAATGGTAATAATATAAAATAAATACATTTTGATCAAGCAATAACACTGTGTAAAGAAAAAAATAATAAAGTGCAAAAACAAATTTCCAAGGAAAAATACTACATATACATGGAGCATGGAGGATAGAAATGCTGAGACTTGAAGTAAATAGAAATATAAAGAAAATATCTTGATTTATTTTTTTTAATTATTACAGAATACTATCAAAATCTTTTTGAAGACTTGATGTACAGTTGGACTGCTTCAAAAATTAAACAGTTAATTTTATAAGGTATTTGCCTATCACCAGATAGCAAAGTATTCAAAATTTGATCAGGAGACATGGTTTTTAATTTTTATCACACTCTGAAGACTTTCAAAAAGTATCGTTCTCTGATTATTATATGCAGGGCATCCCAAGAAATGATAGTTATCCTCGTTCAGATATCCGCACTTAGTACAAGATGTTATTTCACTTAAATACTGATTTTACAGGTGAGCATTTAAATTACTAGATTCATTTCTTAGTTGACATTGAATAATGTTTTTCTTGCGATTGCCATAATGAAAGATCTTGACATCCTTTATTCTATCTGCACTAGGTCTCTTTAAGATATTTGTCTTTTCATGTTTGAAATTTTGAATTCCTTATCAGCACTGAAGGAATGAGTGTTGACTGGTGATATTTTTTAAATGTAGTATGACTGCACCCTCATGCATCTCCGCTTTCTAACCTCCCTGGTTAGTATCATGTCTAAATAAGATGAGTAAAAACGTTTTGTTGTATTTTGAATGACTTTTCACGTTGATGACAAAATGAATGAAAAATTTAAATGACTTCATCTTTTCAATCGATATTTTCCCTTCCCTGTGCAGCAATATAGCTTTATCACCTGCATATGTGGGTTATGTCTCTGAAGTTGATTCCACCGTCAAAATGTTGATTATTAAGCAACCGGGTATGCACATGTTAAGAAATAAAATTCTGAGAGTCTGTTTACAGGTGAGTTTTAAAAAGATCATTTAAGCTAGAGACTTATTGATGGAGACGAGCTTTGAAGCAGACAAGGCTCTTAGCCATCATGGTAGAGGTGGGCAGTATTTTAAGTTCCTGGCGAGTGTCAATCTGAACTTTGTTAATAAGTAGCTTACATGTACAAGTGCACTGAGACTGGATGTTCTTCGCCGCTCTTGAAATAATGGTCATTCAAGGCGGTGGTGATTCCAGGCCATACTGGAATACTGGCATTTGGTCTTACTAATGATTTATATGCTTTTTCCTTGTGATTGTACGCACAAGTACTTTGAAGTCAGCATCAAAAAGATGCTTGAGTTTCTGATTGACAATATTTATGTTCTTTTTGGTGACCAGGTCTTCCAACAACCTGTTGGAATTTCCATGCGTACCAATTGCTCCTTGTTGTAAGCATACCTACTTTTGTATTAAAATTAAGCAGAATTTATGTAAAATCTTGTGCGTGCAAATAAGAAAAGACTTGCTGTGGCCTTCAACTCAATATATCGACGATGTATTGTCAATTAACAATAGTAATTTCCATTCGTATGTCGACACGATATATTCTGAGGAGCTTGAGATAAAAGATACCACGAAGTCGGACACATCTGTTAAATATTCCGATATTTTACTTGAAAAAGACGTTAATGGTAATCTTACAACCAAGCTATATGATAAACGCGATGATTTTAACTTTTCTATCCCCTTACTTATGCAGCAATATACCTTCATCACCTGCATGCGGAGTTAATATATCTCAGTTGATTCGATACGTAAGAGCATGCTCTACGTATGAACAATTTTCTTAAACGAGGTTAATTATTGACAAACAAGTTGATGAAACAAGAATATCAGCAGTCTTCTTTAAAATCATCAATTTGTAAGTTTTATGGTCGATACAACGACATCGTCAGCAAATACAATTTATCATTGAGTCAAATGCTTTTGCATACAAATTGTTTGTCCATTATTTAAACCCCGAATTAACGACGGATTTATCCGTTACCTTCTGATTTATATTGTTTGAATATACTTATGAGCTTAAATACTGTTCGTTATTTTCATGTTTCATGTCAAACATCTACGCTACTTCGACCAAAACAAACTTTTCTACCTTACTGGATACCTATATCTGTCCGTCTGTACGTCTGTCTGTCCGTCCGTCTGTTACACTTTGGGGCATCCATCTCTTACCTGCAACTCTCATTATTATACCATTGAGTGAAATTCAATGAGATTTTCACAGAATCTTTGTTACATATTGCCATTATGCACCTCCTATTTTACTCTTTGATCTGACATTTATTTTGGGTCTTCCAGAGGCAAAACATGGACTTTGCCATTATAATCATAGGGAAAGCTGGGGTGTCATTTTATGAGCAAAGTGAGCACAGTATCTCTAGGGTCTTTTGTTTATAAAGAATTGCTTTGCAAAAGGAAACATCTTAATCGTTTGTTGAAATTATGACCTCCTACTTAATGTTGTGCATTTATAAGGTAAGAATAAATAGTAAAAATTTAATTCTTTAGTGCAACCTATATAGCTTATTTAATGATTTTTAGAGGGAAGAGTCACTATTAGTTTGTCAAAGATAAGTGTCAGAGACGAAACAAATCAATTACAAGAATATTTATTTCCTAGAGGTCATGTAACTTTTGCGTGATTGTGGAGTGGTAAAAATAACAGCATATGAACCATTTAGTTACAGACACAAAAGGAAATGATAATAACCACAACATTAAGTCGACTCGAAACTGCAAACAAAAAATGTCTTGTTTAATTTGATAATCACAAGCTGCTAATATAAAATATGTCTTTGCATGTTATACTTTGGGGTTTATTTGTGTTTACGACTGCTAAAGACCAAGACAGGTCTGGAATATGCAATGTTTCGTAAGTTTTGTTTCGATATACTAGTAATCAAAGTTTTATACTCTGCAATTATAATTTAATGAATAATATTCTATTTAATTTGTGCATATATCTTTATTTTGCGTTCAGATGGGCGAATAACCAAATGAGATTGGGTTGCTGTCTGGATTTTCAGTTAGTCGACGGTAACTGCAAGCGTGAGTTGTTTTATATTGGGATATTAAACGGAATCATTCGACAATTTGTTTTTAAATAATATATAATCCATTGATCTAAATTCGTATCTCTAAGTAACTCAAAACATAAGCTGAACTTGTTAATTTAGGTTTTTATTAAGTAAAATCTATAGAAAGCAATTTATTACACAGCATTCTGGAAATAGATATTAAATACTATTGGTAAAGAACAATTTCTTACATAGAGCTAGACTCCATCACCTCCACCCCACCCAAACCTTGAAGTAAACGTTTCGAGTTTGGACACGTTTAGATTGAGAAATCCAAGCAATCAAAGGGTACACAATCACTTATTACAATGTAAAATATATTTAAATTTTATTATCAGCTTGTATTGGACGACACGGACCTAACTGTTCCTTACACTGTGATTTTGGATTCTTTGGATTTGGATGCCGTCAACTCTGTAACTGCTCAGACAGACAGGGGTGTGACCGACACACTGGCTGTTTTGGTACGATTTATGATAAGTTGAATCATTTTCTTTTTTTTCAATTCTTTAACTGGCTGAATTAATTTTTCGTAAATAAAACTGATTTTCACGTAAAAGTAAAAAATATCCTGTAAATGATTTGTTTTACTATTCAACCCAGCCCAAGCCTCAGATAGTAAGTTTTTCTTAATGTTATTCAAAAGAAATTCGCCCAAGCTGAGTATGAAAAAAAAGTATTCATTTTATTTCAGTAAACCTTTCTAAATATTGCATTAAGCATCACACATAGAGCACAAAGAGAAAAAAAACATGTCATTCAATGGCGCTGCTGTTTTTGTCACAATTGTGTTGTCATCTTTTATTTGGGAGGGGGTTGTACTTATTGATAAAATAAGAGTAAATCTGAGAGCTAATTGTCCTTGTCGAAAATGTGGTTAAACGCTGTCTAACTGCACTATTAAAATACATTTTCTAGATGAGAATTATTGAATGTTCGTAATTTAAATGATTGTTAAATGATTTTTAACAATCGGTAGGTTGTGTTTTAAAACCTCTAGTGTAATGATTATGGTTATGTTGGATTAAAAGGATGAAGATAAAACACACTCACGATATATCTTTTAAAAATCTGCAAACAATATAGCTGCAGAACGGTAGCTCTTTGCTTGAGAAAGTGTGGACAGAAAGTTTTTAAATGCACAATCATAAACCATGCAATTTGACAATTTTGTCCTGGAGTGACTGATCCATGCATTTTAATTGATAACTTAATTATATTTTAGAGGAACTTGGAGTGAAGTCTTCAAGTGACAATCCAACTTAGAGTCATCGTTCCCTTCTAAGTGTAACGTGGTTGAGCCAAGCTATCTCCAAATAACACTCAAGACAGTTCCAATTAACAAAATTTATTTACAAAATGAAAGAAAATTATATTTACATAATCACACTAACACTCACACGCACTTGCACACCTCTTTTTCACATATACTTGTAAGAAAAAAAATCAATAAACCTTATAACTTGACAGACAGACTGACAGACTAAATGTTTCTTTATAAAATTATCTCAGATAATGATTTATTTTGTTGCCCTGTAATGTTCACTTGCACAGTTCTGTTATCTAGGTTTGCCACAATCACGAGCTCTAAGTTCTAACTCCTTTCAGATCGACTTATCTGAATCTCAACACCAAAAGTTTCAGCTTAGGTACATCAATCGTCCGATCGCTTCTGGGGCTGTAGTCCCAGAACTTGTGGAAAGGCGATGATAACCCTCAGAAAGCTTGACTGTATTGTCCCATCTGGATCGTAAGCTCACTCAGCTACATCCTCGTACTTCACCAACGTCATAACGCTACAATTTACAGGACTCATAAGTTGTCTAATATGGCAATATATTATAACGGCAACACTTAATGATGTCATATTTAGATAAAGTATAAATGAAATATGTCTGTCTAAATAGTTCAACAAGTTATGATAAAATGCATACATTGTATTGTGATTTCAAAACAATATGGCGACCACTTCCGGCTGTCACTTCCGCCCAATACATTTAAAGAATTCGCCAAAAAAAATATCGAGCACAAAAATACACCTAAAGAAACACTCAAAAGTGACACAAACAATATTCTATCGACAGTAAAAGAACTGGGTATTTAAACTCTCACACAGGTAAGTTAGACAAGTGAATGTAAGCCAAGGTTATATTTAGGTCACTCGATAAACAAGAATACTTACAAAATACACTCTAAGAATAAATTCAAAAACACAAAATATACATACCACGGTCTGCTCTTCCGTGCCTTTAGTTACTAGTTAGGTTCTGTACGTTGCATACTGCAAAATATACTGACCCTGCAGTAAACTCGACTGCCCTCTAATGTACGTCTTACTCACACGGCAGCTAACCCGGGAATTGTCCCAGCCAATTTTTTAATCACGTGACTTTTGAAACGACAAAGAACTATGGGAAATCATTGCTACAGGCCGTTAAGCTAACCTGATACACAAGTGATTGTCACACTAAGGAGGAAATTATTGAAAATCATATGTCATTTTTTTTTATATTTTCAGCAATCAAATTGAATCTGAATTACCATACTTATGCTGGATTCTTAAATTACATAAAATTCTTACAAACAAAGATATTTAGCGGGTTCTCTTGGGCCCATTTCCTTACTTCTCACTAATATATTTGCAGCGGTGAAGAAAAAAACTGGGACAAATAACTTCTTAAAAGCTCTAAGGAACTTTTAGAAAATTTGAAATCACAAAATTATACAAAAATTAACAACATCAAAAGAAACAAATTTTCAACACATTATACAACCATTTACACGATAATTGAAAGTAAAGTTTTTTGACATCATTAACAGGAAATATAATAGCTGCTTTTTCAATAGATATGGAACTCTTAATTTTTTTACTGTGTCGATTTTGCGCCAAAACACAAACAAGCAATATAAAGATTATCTTATTA